AGGTGAGCTCTAGGGGCTATCTTTGCAGGGATAAACTATCCATTCATTTATAAAAGATTGATTAAAAAATATCTAACATTCCAGGTGGATGAATAATTTCCCCTTCCCCATATGTCTGCCACATGAGCATGGCTACCTATCTTACAAACAACTAACAAAACTGGTTAGAGGCTTCCAGAGCTCCAAAAATTAACTCTGGATGAAGCAAAACCAAAGTAAGCACAAAAAGGACTTAACACACTTGGGCTATATTAAAAAAAAAAAAAAAAAAAAAAAGTAAAAATGGACTAGTTAAGTCTTGAATCATAATTTTCTTTTAAAGCATATGTACCCCAATACAGTGCTGGAACTGAGATATATCCATGGCAACATGAAAACACACATAGGGGCTCTCTCTATTTAATAGCTTTGTAACGCTTAATGTTTGAAATTATAGAGTAGGTCAATGTTTAAAATTATGAGGAAGTTCAATACATAAAACCCAAACAAAAGAATATCCTAAACTAACCTAAATGTCCACAGCCCCTTCTTACACCCCAATAGTATAAATGTTTTTTATCAATCCATTAAATTAGTATTTCACATAGTTTCTCTTCAAAGCAATTGATCGTAACACAGTGCCTCTGCCAGTACTTTATAATGTGTGAAAGCAGCAGCCTGGGCTCAATTTTATCTCTAATTCAACTCTTTTCTGAATGAGCAGCTGACACAAGGAAGGCTTACTGTCAGTATCTAGGAGACATTTTGACTTTGGAAACCATTTTCTCTCTGCCAGACATTTGGTTCCAGCTGGCTGAGACACGACTTGATTCTCCTGTCTTGCAGCAAGGACAGGCATCTGCCAAGCTGGACAGTCGCTGTGCTGAGGTCCTGACCAGGGAGGGGACACTCACCAGTCCCTCACAGCTGCTCTGTACCTTCCCCTGCTTCCTGACCAGAGCAGCCCTGCTCTTCACACGTGTGTGTCTAAGGAACCTGGTGCAGATGCTCAAGCTGGATCTGGATTCCAGGGTAGCTGCATGTGCAGTGTGACCCATGGCTACAATTCCACACATCCAAATCTGCATCCCTGTCAGGGCATGCTTCACATGCCTTCTGCCAGTGCAAGCAGGTGTCCTTCCCAAGAAAACCAGTGTGTAGGATGAAAGGAGCTGGTGCACTGCAGTGTTTCACCCACTTGGGCCACAGCACAGCTGGAGCACACACCCAGACCCGAGCAGTGCTGCTGGGTCCTGCAGTTTAGGTACAAGAAAGGAAACCCCATCCCTTCCAATGTTTTTTTTTTTTCTGCATTTACCTACCTGTCTTTCTTTAGGCGTAGTTCTTGTCCTCTGTAGTACACGGGGTCCTGGTCTGGAAGCTGTCACCCCTACAGAGCTGAGCACTGCTTCTGACTTCCCAGCTCCCAGCAGGTTCAGCACTGCCGCATCAACTGCCCCAGCTACTCAAACCAGCTCCTCTCTCCTGCTCAAAGCCTGCTTGGTCTGCATGTGCAGCTCTAAGTCAGTTGTGGGTACTCTCTACAAAATCCTCACTTTCTGTTCTGCTTTAGCCACGTTTCCAAACTTCATGCTGCACACAAGGAACAAGATGGTTCTCCTCCACCATTAGCCTTAAGGATGACCTTCAGCCTGAACTGGGGAGGGCCGTGCTAAGGCCACCATCAGTCAAAGAGGGATTTCATACACCCCATTCCCTCAGCTTCCATTATGAGCTGCACCACAATCTGCCTACAAGGCACGTGCCCACAGTCATCAGGGATCCTGTTATTAACCTACATGCCCTTGCCACTCAGCAGTTCGGTCTTCAGCAGTTTGGTTCCTTCTGACAGGTTCCCACAGGAGTATCAGCACTCCAAGCAGCCGATTCCAGCCAAGACCAAGCGTATGGCAGATCCTCAGAACAGCTCAGATTTGTGCTCACAAGATTTGTGTTAAATACAGGCATTCTAGAAATGTGCCCACAAAGAGTGCATGACTGACTTTTACCTCTTCTTACTCTACTGCTCCATAACTGAAATGTAGGATAGACATTTGCACAAGTTAAACCAACAATTATTCTGATAATAACTGCAGTTTAAAAATCCTTAAGCTTCACTGACATTGCTGGGGACCTCAGTGGAGCAAAGACTGTGGCACTCAGCCAGCAGGAAGGCCAGCAACATTACCATGCTGAGATCAAGAGTTATTAACCCCGAGTCCTTGATCTGCTGAGTGCATTTTGGCTATTTCAAAGCCCCAGTGCAACTTCCTGGTGAAGAAAGCTCTGGATTTGCTCAGAGCATCTTCTTTTGTAGATGCAGCTAAGGAATGAAAAGGGTATTGGAACCCTGAAGTCTACATCTACCTCTACAGAGAGACACATGGACATGACATATCTGAAACTCCATCACCCTCGTGCTCTGGAAGCACTCAAATGTGATCCTGTCTCTTGCTCCAAGCCCTGTTGCTTTCCTGCCTCCCCTGGCTGCCTGCTTCTGCACATGAAAAGATCATCTGCACCCAGTTCACTGCTCAGAACCCCATCCAGACACACTGCAGGTCTACCAGGCAAAGGAATTGTGGAAGATGAGGAGAGTCTTCTCACCTCACGTCCACAAGGTAGACAGCAAAGAAGAACAAAAGAGCCATGGCAGAAAAGGAAATATTGTATAAGTTAAAGTATATTCTGTATTTTGCAAAAGCAGAGTCATTTTTCCAGACTAAAATGGTGAAATACTGGAAGCCAGAGGTATTGTTACCACTGCCCATGGCTCTCAGCACATCTGTAAATTTCCTTTTAAGCTCCTTTGATATAACCCACCCATAGCAACTTAAATGAAACACCTCAAGAATTTTTCTTGCTTGTAGATTTAAGAGATCATTAGGCTGTTTTCCCCTTTCAGAGGAAAACGTCACATTTCCCTTAAGCCTGGCCATTTATCAGCTCTTCTCCTTTTTCTGTAGGATGGCTATTCTCTTAAAGATGTGGTTCTCAGCTTCAGACAAAATGGATGATGTGTCTGTTTGAAATAGGATTGTTTACTTTGCCAATGCCCCTGCGATCAATTTCATTTTTTTCCTGCCTCCTGTTTCTCCTATAGAGAACATCTTGCCAAGTGCAGTATTCATCTCCCTGAATGAGCTATCGAGATCTATTTTTTTGACAGAAATCATGCTGCAACCCAAACTGGTCAGAATCTCTCACTATTTCAGAAGCATGCATGGGTATGAATAATATAGAATCTTATCTGGCACAATTTCAGCATTTCTCTTATAATTTCTCTTTCATGGAATATATTTGCTTGAGAAAATTATACACTCGTAGTTTTAACACCAAAAATAAAAAGCAGCACACATTCCTCCTGGCTGGTTGCTCATACATGTCTGAACACACACTCACAGGCACGAAATACAGGAGCAACACTGCAACATCCCCATCGCACTGAATCCACCCTGAGCAGCTTCACTAACGAGACAACTCACACAGGCAAGATCTGCTCATAAGCTGCTGGAGAATGAGGGCTTAATTGGGGATTTATTTAATTCAGAGACAAGTACTTGTGTTGTATTAAGAGCAGCTTATTAACATTCATGCATGAACATTCACTAAGTGTGAACAAATACAATTCAGTGCAAAAGCGTAATTTTTTAAGCACTGGAAGAGGAAGCATTCACCTAAACCATCAGCTTGCTCAGGGCACGAGGGGTTGGACACCAGGGAATGAAATGCTGTCCCAGGCATTGTGTTGGGTTCTCATACTTGAGCATGTCTCACTATCCATCATTCCTGAAGCAACAGCGCTGAGACTTCCCAAAGCTCCCGTTATTGCCTTGTACGCTCCTCAGCATTTGAGCCAAATCTGAAGCGCAAATAAATCATCAGCAAAATTTTTAGACAAAAATTTTAAAAACTACATCTGCTGGAGGAAACAATGCTCTGCCTGCCACCCCTGCACGATGCTGATGACAAGTCTAGGTTAATCACACAGATGATGAATTGATTCTTACGTCAACTCCTTTAAAAACAACATCCTTACAGGTGTAGCAGCTGGCGGGCTGATGTATTCCTGCTGGCATCTGCACATCTCGGGATGAGCCACTAGACAAAGGAGCATGCCGGCATTTTGAGGGATGCAACCATGACAGTCGGTGTTAAAATACGCCTTAGTTACCAACTTTTATTATTTTCCACTCACAAGACTCACAGGTTCAGTCTCTGGTACAGTGTGCTCTGGGGAAAACACCCCTCAATTACCAGGGAGCCTCCGGGAATGGACAGAGGGCTCTCCGACCGCTCTCCATCCACTCCGGCGCACGCCCTCCCTCCCTACCCAGGCAGTGGCTGTGCTGCCCTCTACTCCCAGCACCTTCCCCAGCACCCACCACCCTTCCTCGCCCCTTCAACCCCATGCCCTTCCTACTTTTTCCTACCAGTGGCCCTCTTTCTTAAGCTTGGTCTCATTTTATGACTACCATCAACTGTCTGAGGCCAGAAAGGTCTTTCTGATGCCGGCAAAAAATCTCTGCATCCATTCTGAAAGGCTTTTGTGTTGGGATTTACTCTGCCCTCATTTAAACGGAATCCCATTATTCCTCTCTCCAAAAGCAGCATGATGTACGGCGCTAACAACCCCTGGGAGCAATCAGCCCGAGAGTTGACGGTGTACAAATCAGAGCGGACACACCATCCGGCAGGATGGACGCCTTCTCCCTGAGCTCTGCCCTTCATTCTCACCGAGGAGGATGGAGCGCGAGCCGCTCCATTTGCAAATAACCCGTGTTTCCCATCGATCAGCAGCCGGAGCGTGTTTCACCGCTGGAACACGTTCCCAGTTTTAACCTCCACAGGCACACGCGTCCCTTCGCCAGCAGTCCCCAGCCGCTGGCACCCCCGCCGGGATGAACCGCGGGCCCCAAACCCCGGCGGGGTCGGGGATGGCGCTGGCAGCTCGCACCCCCACCCCCGCCTGCCCACACAGCCCCGGGAACCACCGCGCCCGGCGCTCCCGGTCCCCGTACCCGCGTCCTCCTCGTCGAAGCTGTTCATGCAGGGGAAGTAGATGGCCAGGGCCTCGAAGGAGGCGGAGAGGCTGAGGCGGCTCTGCGACCGCTCCATGAAGAGCCCGGGTCCGGGGGCGCCGCCGGGGGTCTCGCCCGCAGCCGCGGGCGGCTTGGCGAGCTTGGCCGCCCCATTCTTCACTCGGAGCACGGCCCGCGGCGTCTTGGCGGCGGCGGGGCCGCCCTGAGGCGGCGGGGAGAGGAGAGGAGAGGCGAAGCGAGGCGGGCAGGAGCGCGGAACGGCGCGGAGCGGAGCGGAGCGCACCCCGCCCCGAGCCCCGCCGGGGAGCCGCGGCGGTGTTCTGCCCTTCCCGCCCTGTCCCGAGCCCGGCCTGGGACGCACGGCGGTGTTCTGCCCTTCCCCGGGCCGGAAAAGATCCTTCGCATCCCGAGCATAGGGATAGCGCAGGTGTAGGTTTGCTTGTGAATTGATCTGAGAAAGTGAAATAGAATTTTTTTTTTTTTATTTCTGAAATAGACACAAATTTATTTATTTCTGAAATAGGCAGAAATTTATTTATTTCTGAAATAGACTGTTATTTCTTTATTTATTTCTGAAATAGGCAGAAGTTTATTTATTTCTCATTTATTCACTGAGAAAGTGAAATAGAGAGAGGAGGAGATGCAGGAGGAAGAGCATGGTCCTGGCTTTGATCTCACTGAGAGAACGGCAGAAAACAACCTTGAAGCTTTCAGGAGTAGAACCATGAAGCTTTCTTCTGAAAGAGAGGGGATATAAGTGACCCGGTTTGAATGGAGGAGCAGCCCGGCTCCCAGCCTTCTCCCACGTACCTCTCTTTAGACACACAAAAAAACCCCTTCCCAAAATATAAAAGCCACTATTTGGATGTATACAAGCCCCCAGGCAGAAAGCACATAAACCGGGAGGTTTTCCTTGGTATGTTACATTAAATAGGAAGGCTGGTGCCTGTTGTGGCTCAGCATTGAGCCCATTCTGCAGCATACCATGGGATAGAAGCTGCTGTGCTCTGTGAAATGAGCAAATTTTAGATTCTTCCCCAAGTCGCATTTTTTTCTGACAAGCTTTATGGAGAATTAGTGGCTGAAGACTGCCAGCTGTCCACAGGTGCTGCCTATGGCAGAGACATCACAGCATCTCCGAGTCCTGCTTTGGGGAAGGGAACGCAGTCTAGCCTTATTTATTCAGTGCAACAAAAGCCTGGGATGGTATTAGACAGTGTTTTGCACCCGTGATGTGGTCTGCACAGAAAGGTTGCTGTTCCCTCAGGGAACAAAGGAAGATGTTCCTTGTGCTTGGTCTGTCCCCCCATCCTGATATCTAAATGTCATCCCACTGAAATGACAGGCCTGCTTGTGCTGTCCAAAAACGTACATTGAATGAAATATCTCCCTTGGGAAAAGTGTGGCTAAACAGCCTGTATCCTCCATTCTCAAACAGTTAGTAAACCAATCCATTAAAAGTTTTCCATCTACTGAAAGTCCTACCAGCTCTGTATTGTATTTGTGGCTGCCAGTGCCAAGAAGCAGCAGGAGCTGCTCCCAGGGAAGGGGTGCCAGGAGCAGCTTCTGCACAGGGCAGGGACAAAACTATGGGCAGGCACAGTCCCCTGCCATGGGAGGTAGAGCAGGAGGTGATGGCAGCGGCTCCTATCAACACACCAGCTCCAAAGTCATCCACGGAAAGCCAAACATCAGTTAGGAACAGGTCTGAGACAGTCTCACCTACAGCCCAGGCAAGAGCTAGAAGCCCCCCAGCCTGGAGGTTAAATGGAGCTCCTGAAAGAGAGGGTAAATGTGAGGCCCAAATGAAGGTTTTTGGGGCAATTACGGCCAATTAATGCACTCAGTCCTGACATCCAGGTTCTTCATTACTGGTGATGCATCCAGAATGGCAGAAGTCATATGAATATCAGATGCCAAGATGAGTTTGCAGGACTTCCTAAAAGAAAATACGTTATTTAATTCAAAAACTAATCAAAACTCACTCTGAAGTTAGTGAGTTATATGAATTACTTCATCAAAGCTAGGCTAGGCAGGCAGTAAAGCAGAAGGAACAGAATGAACTTATTACAGACAATGATATCTCCAGGTCTGAGTTTTGAAAGGCAAAGGAATCAGTGAGGAATGTATTACCATATGTTTAAGAAGAGATTTCAATAGCACCAATCAAGGCATTAACAGCAGCTACAGGCACAAATTTAGGTGCATTAAAACTGTCAAGACAGCTCATGTCTACCAGTCCTGCCAGCACATTTGATCAGAGGAGCAAGAGGCATCTGTGAATCAAAATTTGTTTCCAGGTTGCCAAGCATAGAAGTTACCTAAAGTGCTGACAACTGCTTTATTTTCATTTAAAGACTGCAATAAAAAATTTAAATGGGGACTAGAAGTTTAATCTCAGCTTTATGCTGTGTCCATCTAAATTGCTCATTTCACTGCATCTTGAAAGCACAGTGATGGCAGACCCAGGCCTGTGGTTTGGAGAGCAAATCTCTGTCTCCAACACTCTGTTTTCTTCACCAGCATACTAGGACTGAAGACCCTTCTGCTTTTAGTGCTTTCAGACCTCCTTTTGAGGTGCTGAGGAGGACCATCATCATCCCCACCCACCTCTGTGCACCTTTCTCCATGCTCATCCATCTGCCAGCTTCCTCCAGAGACACAGTCTGAACCCCTTGCACCTGCACAACTCAGCACCACTTGGTCACACTCTCTAAATGCTCCTTTTGTGCATTTTTTCCAGCCTGTCTTCCACCTCCCTCTTTGTTATATCTGTGGGACCAGCCATGCTCAAGTCCTTCCCTGCTCCCGTCTGCCGCAGAGCGGCTTGGGCTGAGTGCTCTAAACATCATCCCTTAGCTTTGGTTCATCTGCTTCTCATTTGACTGCTACATTTTGCTCCTCAGGGCCAGGGCAAATATGTGTCCTGCAGGGCTCTTTGATTATTGGCTGGGCCAAAACTTCCTAAACCAAAACCATCTGCCTTAAAGTGAGACAAAATACACTGACAGCTGGAAATCGGATGGACAGTTAAAGGCATAATGCCCTCGGATGCCTGGAGGAAACTCTTTGTTTTGGCTGCCTGTTTAAGGGAAATAGGGATTTGCAATGAAGCTGGAAATTGTTAATCTCTAAGAGTTCTTCTTCATTGATTGACATGGACAGAAAGATCCTTGGGAGGGACTTGCAGAAGTGAGGATAAACAAGGGGGAAGATTCCTGTGATGTTGTAAATAAGCTGAGAGTGCAGGCGAGAACAAATAAACTCAAAGATTTACTACCTCCAGAACAGCAGGTCTGTGGCTGCCCCAGTGGAAGTGGTTAATTGATTGTTTCCCCAGTGAAGCAGGCTCTGACTGATTGAACCATGGAAAGCTCTGATAGATTTTTCCTGCTGGCTCTTTCTCTTCCCACTAGTCACGTAGCTTATATTTTTGCCTTTACTCTTAGGTGTCTAGGTCAGCCTAGGAAGTTCATTTTTATACTGGAGAAAGAGGATATGCTGCCCTCTCCCTCTTGTACTCCCTATGGTTCTGTGTATGCCTGTTTGGAAATAAAACCAAACTCTTTGATTTGTGTATGTTTGCTCTTTCTGCTCTCTCTGCCCACTGCTTGCTCAAAAAATAGTTCACATGCTGGGAGCTCAAATGCAGCACAGAAACAAGCCCTGCTAGTGAAAACACATCTCGTGCATAAATCTGCTCAGAGTAAATACAGCATTCCAAAGGGTGAGGAGGGTTGGGCTCCTCCCTGTCTCATGCTGCCCCTTCCCTGTCCTGAGCAAAGCTGCTGCTGGAGCCAGGCAGCTCATGGTTGGCAGCACACGATGATCTCCAGCACCCAAAAACAAACACAGACTTGACCATCCCTGCTCTTCAGGGCTCTAATTGATTCCACTTAGAGGTTCCTCTTGGCCCTTCTGGGCAGGCTGTGGGGCAGGAGGTGAGATGTGCTGAACATGGATACCCAGAACCAGGGACTAAACACCAGAGAAGGGCCTGTGGTGCCATGGCATGGCATCGGTGCAGGGTGATGCTCAGAGGTGCTGCCTCAGGTGCCCAACACACCAAGTACCACAGCTTCACTGGGCTTGGTTGTTGCACACTTACATAACAATACATATTTTAAGTTATTTATTCTTTCTTGCTGTGTGTAGAGGAAATACTGCAGGCTGATGGCTTGAGGAACCAGGCACAGTATAAATACAGAGTGAAAGCCTTTCTCTTCCCCAAGTGCTCACTGTCCAAGTAGCCAAGAGAAAGAACAGAAGGAAGTATAATTTTTTTAATACAAGTTCAAAGTACTAAGCGTGTGAGTTTTGGTTGGCTTGCCCAACACTGCATAAGGAAAGTCTCTGTTGGAGCTAGGAACTGACTGTAGATTTCCTGCCATAATCTCAAAACTACCTTCTGCTTTTCACTAACAGAAACAATGTTCTAACCTTAGCAAAATTAAATTATAAACCAGACAGGTTTTTACAACATCCTTTGTTGGCTGGGATCCAGGCAAGCCAGGAGTGCTCCGGTTTGTGCACAGCTGAACCACATAATGCCCTAAAGAGCAAGCCAGGCTGCTACCTGTGTGGAGCCTTTCACAATGCTCTGCACTTACTTAAACCTGACACCCCATCTAAAAGCAGAGATCCTGTTGTTTTAGTCACATCTCTCTCACGCCCTCTCTAGCTATCAAAAACAAGCCCACAAAGGTGTTAAATGACTAGTGAGACAGAGCCCAGAGGATGAGTAATGAGAGGCTGAGCCGTCAGCCTTGGGTCCCTTGCTAGCCCTGCTGCTTCTCACATTTGTCTAGCCGGGTTTTCCTGAGTCAAGAGAACTCAAGGCTTCACAGCACGTGCTGTACTCTGTTTTTACTGTCGGTATCTTCTAAAACTGCATGGGTTCAGCCCATTCAGTGACTTCCAACCCCTGACAGCAGGAGTTTGAATGGGCTGGACAGTCCCATGGGGTATAACTCAGCTGACCATCTTCTGCTTCACTGTGTCCTTCTCAGTGCTGGGGTTTGGGTCAGGCTTTTTTTAGTTCAGCCAGCCAGGATGAGTAAAAGGATGTTAAATCAGGCTGATTCTCTTCTGATGACTAAAATGCAGACCCTGACTGATGAAGTGCAGGGTAGTGGTGATTTGCAGACACATTGTCTGTTGCAATATTCACTCACATGCGAAAGGGAAGAGGAAGCACCTGCACGTACAAAGTGCTGTTTAAGAGCAAGTATTGCTTATCCACTTCCCTGATTTATAATAAACAAACCATCTCCCCG